GTTTAATTACAGCTTCAGATTATGAAGCCCCATCCTCCTTGTTTGCTCTCTTCAATTCACTGTTGTTTATGCTTTTTGGGCCTGAAGCTTGTAACCTTGGTTCCTTGTATCCTTGGTTCTCAAGCTGGAAAAGGATTGTTTTGTCTAACTATCCTGTGAAGAGAACTTACTAACGCTTAATATGAAGCTCAGAGCTACACACAAAGGCAGCACAGAATCTGAAAAATATGAAAACTAAAACTTAAGACATCATCTCCATATGCAACACCATGACCTACCTTCCTGGGAACTTCCTGCCTGTCCTTTGTGCCCCAAGCACTCAAGAAAGCAGCCCTCAAGGGCAACATAACCGTTTTTACAAGGGACGGAGGCTGGAAATACCCTGCAACAGGTTAACCAAAGTGTGTTAGAAGACTTGTAAGCCAGTAAGGAAGAGAAGGACCAAGAGCTACATCTGAAGAATAACAAGTCGCCCTCTCCCCAAAACACACCTCCAAGCCACTGAGGAAGAGGCTTCTGCAGTTCAGCTGCTGCACCCCTCTGCCAGTATCAGTTAGGAAATGCAGCCAGCTGAAGATGCACCACTTCCAGAACAGGGAAATCATAGCAGCAAACTGACCCTCTCTAAATTGCAGCTTCATATGAGAAGTAAGGTATGCACAGCTGGTGCAGCTCTATACAGGATTCCAGGTACTGAGAATAAAGTGATTATCCAGAAGCATGCAAGACACAGTGAGGGCACTGTAGGGCAGCGTGGCAATTTAAAAGTTTGTTGGTTTCCAGCAGAAAATGTACCTTCCTCTGCTTAAGACTAAGCCTTCCCCATACCATTTAATAATGCCAATTTTAAAAAGCCTGTTTTCCTGTTAGAGGACTAGAGAAAGAAAAGTTATAAAGACATACAGACAAATGCTTTCCTAAGTGACCTTAAACGGTATAAAGCATTCTTCTTGACAGCCCCAACTCCACCCCTGAAAAGAGGGTAAGTGGGAAATTAAGTATTTCAGCATTAAGTAGGCAAAATTCATACTAAAACAATTCTGAAGTCTAAATCTGAGTACAATAAAACTTCTCTAGCAGTTCTCTGTGGATGACACAACAGAGTGGTGCATTCTCTACTGTGATGTCCAAAAGAATGCAAACAACCCACAATATAAGGATACCACCTTTGTAACATCCCACTGGATCTATAAGTGGGTCAGAAAGCACAAGCAGAAAAACTTTCACCAAGAATATAAAATCCCATAGGAAAACCAGGAGGAGGAGACAAAAATCTGAGTGCAGGAGATGGTATGTTAACTCAGCAAATTAGATAAAGTAAAAAAAACCAAGTTTACTTATTGAAATTATTTCTTGCAGTGACAAAATCTCTCTCATTGCTGTAATATTGGTGACAATTAATAACACCACTTCTCTTAAGCTCTATCTGAAAGTTTGTTTGTAAAAGTAATATGGTGTGGAGGGGGTAAGAGAGTATATTTAAGTGAACTTTGCCTAATTGTTGCTTCCAACCACAATCCACTTCTTCCATAAGACACTGAGAAACAGTGGCACTTTTTCTTTAAAAAAAAAAAATCTTGTTTTATACATAAACTAAAATTTTTTAAAAAGTTTACTGCCATCACAACATTAATCATGAATATTTTGTTCCTCACTGTATTGTTGTAGAGCATTGCTTATGGCTATTTTTCAAGACAGGCTAAGTGAAACCCAAAGATTGGTATTATTCCACTCATTTTAGTATTCTGTAGGTTTATCAGGGCTGACTTTTGTGTCTCAGAGTTATGTCTACTTTTATCCATCATTGATTCCCTTCTCCCACCTATTTATTTCAAGGGGCTTAAAAAACAGCACTCAAGAGTACTGCAAATAAACACCCATTCCAAAGTATCTGATAAACTCTAAAAAAAAAAAAAAAAGTATTAGAACAATTCCAAGAAGAAACATAATCAAAGATAATCAAATACAGTGCCATGTCCATATATGCAAACCTGGAACTAAAGGGGAACTTATTACCTTACTTGCTACAAAAAAGTCACCTAAATGTACCTGTAAGGGCACAGATTTTTGTCTCTCATTACTTCTGTTTTTAAGAAATAATACCTCAAAACTCATCAGAAAAAAAATTCAACCAAAAAACCAAAGAGATGAAAGAATGAGATCTCGGTGATATCTCCTCAGACAAACAATCTGTTAACTTGGTAAGTGCTGTACTTTTGAACTTGATGGAATTTTAAATTTATTTTGTAAGACTTAGGTGTTCCAAAATAAATCACTACCTTCTTGCCCTAATAAACAAAATACACACACCAAGAAGGATAATACCTCATAATAAAACATTACGCCTCTAACTCAGGAGTTATTAAAGAAACATCTCCATTATTAAAGAAACTGATAGGGTGAGTATATTAACCCCAGTTATTGGAGAAAGAGGCATTAATTGAATACCATCCCCAGAAACACTTAGGAGCTCCAAAAAGTCTGCTTATAGGAGAGCATAAAATTAATTCTGTAGTTACTAATGTAATGGTACTATTGCAAATACAGTTTACAAAATTGAAACCACAGAACCTCAATTGTCCTACAAGGGCTGGAGTTCTTTTAATCAAAAGAAAAACAAACACTAGGTGTTTTTCCAATTTAAGTGGCCTATAGGAAAAGCAAATCCAGGCTGGAGGTTAGAAACCATCATTTTTATCTGTGTATATTTTTATGTAGGTAATGTAAAAATAGAGGGTGCAAACAATTAGCCTTATTAACAAAGACACAGACTACGTTCTCCCTCCTAGGAGAAAGGCATTCCCTTAAGCCAAGATCCCGCATTCATCTAATCCCACCCTCGCGCTTTCCTTCCCCCAGCCTTTTCTTTGGCCGGTGGGGACTTGCGCCCATCCAGAGGGGCTCGCTCCAGCCTTGGGAGGCACCCCGAGAGCAATCCTCTTCCGGTAAGAAATCATCCGACACCCATGGAGCCTGCCTGGAGAGCAGGAAAGTAGGCAGGCTTCATCTGACCGCTACAGCAAAACTGCTGCACGTTCCTGTGGTCTCCCTGCTCAGTGTAGTAAGGCACAGCAGCATTCTAGCCATTAACTTGCTCAAGCCGAGTACCAGGCTATGCGAGCGTACCCATATTCCTCGGGGCGGGGCTGGGGGGGGCGAGGAAGGCGGAGGAGAGCAGCTCAGCCTGCCACGGCGGGGCCAGCGAGGCTACTACAGCACACAAAACCAGGAGCAGGAGTTTCCCACCGAGCGCATCTTCCACCCAGCAGCCAGGTCTGCTCCGCTTCCGGCAGGGCGCATCACTTCCCACCCTTGCCCGACAATATCCATCACCCCTCGTCAAATATTTTTTATGGTTATAGGTTTAAGGACAAGGAGGGAAAAAAAAAAAAAAATCAAGCTTTTTCTGCTTCACCGCCTCCCGCCGGATGCCCATAATGCGGCCGATAACGAAGCGAGAATCCCCCACCGCGAAGCCCCCCGCCCCCGGAGCGCAGATGCTGCCCCGGCCAAGCCTCCCGCCGCCGGCACCGGGTCGCCGACACAAAGGCTCAAAAGCACCGTAAATACAGCCCCGTGGCCGCCGCCGCCGGAGAGCGCCGGGCGAGCCCGCCCCGGCGGCGAGCCCACCCCTCCCGCCTCGGGAGATGTCAGGTTACAGCCGAAAACCGATTTACCGGGCTCGAAGTCAGGAATGCGCGCCTGGTATTCCGCTCCGACCCTCATTCCTACATCTGCAAGGCAAAGGGGGGAAGAGAAATTAAGGGCTGGAGCGTCCCCGGGCGCCGTCCCAGGCTCCCGCCGTGCGGCGGGCGGGCGGGCTGGCGGAGCCCCCGCCGCGGCCGTGCGGAATAAGCCACCTCCTCCCCCCGCCACCCCCCGCCCACCGCCGCCGCCGCGGATTAAGCCCCGACGACCGCCGAGGAGGGGGCAGGAGGAGGCGGAAGGGGGAGTTTATTCCAGCGGAACAATGGGGACGGCGGCGGCTCCCGGGAGACACTCCCTCCCCATCGTTAAGTACCGCGGGGGCAGCCGCGGGGCCGCGCCGCGCGCTCCCGCCCCCCGCCCCGCACACGCGCGGCCGCGGCACGGACGGAGCGGCGGAGCCCCGGCACCGGGAAGGGGGAGGCGGCTCGGCTCGGTTCGCCGCCCCTCCCGCCGCCTCCGCCACCCCCCTGCCGCCGCCGGCGGGGCGGCCCCAGGCTCGCACCGTGCTCGTCGCCACTGTCGCCGCCGCCGCTCTCCGGCTCCGAGTAGTGCCCGTTGGAGGGGCTGCTGCTCTTGGCGCCGTTGGGGGCTGCCCGGCTCTTACCCCCCAAGAGCTCCGCGCCCTTCTCCATCATGCCCGGCATGCCGTGGCTGGGAGCGGGGGAGAGCGGCGGCAGCGCTGGCTGCCGAGGGGGGGGAAGTTAATACGGAGCCGCCATGTTGCCCCCTCCCCGCCCCCCCCTCGGGCACCTCCTCCCCCCGCCCGCCGCACCCCCCCTCCCCCGGCTCCGGGAATCCCTCCGCGCCGGCCCGGCCGGATCTCGCCGAGGGGCGGGGGATGCCGCTGGAGCGCCGGCGGCGCGGCCGCCAGATACTGAATACTCAAGTACTAAAGAAAAAAAAAAAAAATTAGTTTCATAGTTCTTGTGCCTGCAGGAGATCATGTATGTGGTGACACACCCCTAATGAGGTGTGACCCTCACATGACAACAACCACCAGAACATCCTTTTTCAAAGCAGTGCTGTGTCCCCAGCAGGAATCAGACATCTGCTTCCATTCAGGTGGCATCTTCACACTGCCAGAAGAAAAGCCAGGATGACAAAGGAATAATGAGATGCATAGAGGTAGCTTGAAGAAAGGCACCCTGACCTCACCACCAGACGTCCCTAGCTGTAGGATAGAGATCCCTCCACCTCTGATGCCTTGAGAGGCTGATCTGGAACAGAGACTAGACAGAGCTAAAAGAATAAAGTAAGTATTTATTAAAAGGTCTTAAAAGGATACACCCGGACCGCCGCCGCGCCGCGGGGCTCACCCGGCCAGCGGGCCCAGAGCAGAGAGGGGACTATTTCCCGGCGGCGGCGGCGCAGGGATCCCGGCGGGAGATGTGGCGGCTCCGGTGGTGCCGCGGCGAGGGGCGGGAGGAGCCGCGGCCGCGCGGGGACCGAGCGGGATCAGGAGGCGCAGGAGCGGGGCCTCGGAGAGGGGCCGAGGCCGGCGCCAGCCACCTCGGGGCCAGGGCCGGGTCCCGGCGGGGAAAGCCAGTGCTGTCACATCGCTGAAATCACAAGATGTGTGAACCCGTGCTGGTATTTCTTTCTAAATTCAAAAAGTGATCTATTTCTTTACCTGTGAAGTGAATTCTGATGCGTTACCAAGTGCTGCGGTGTTACCATCCAGTTTATCTCAAATATTCACGTTTTATGAGGTATAAAAGGGCTGAGACAGGCTTCAGGCCGACACTCAGTTACGATGTGACAGCAGTCTTGCTGCTTAATCTGGAGATGCATTATTAGTTTGGCTTGTTCTGTGCAAATACATTTAATGTTCTTGTGGCTATGTTTTAATATGTGTTATAGGTATTTTTAGTAATGCCGTGGTAGTTTGTAAGTCTGATTTCCAGATGTAGGGAAAAAGTATAAATTTAAATTGCTGTATATTAAATTAAAGTCTCACGTTCCAGCTAAGTGTGTCTGACACGATCCATTACCCTTTGTCATATCTCAACAATTCTTCCCAAACTTTGCCCTGGTGGCTGTCTACCCCAAGCTAGTTGGTTAATTGATTGATTGATTGATTGATTGAGGAGTGCTAGTGGAAATAGTGCAGCTGCTTTCTTAGGGTGAGATAAAGGGGAGATGACTACTTGTGTCCATGCTTATGGCTACTGAGTGTTCATAGTGCCTTATAGTGGGATTGTAACATGATGTAGTTAGTCGTGTTTGCTGTTTCTTGATACTTGCCTTGAAAGAATTCCATTATGATCAAGTTAGATACTTTTGAAAAACCTTTGGTGTATGTATGCTTCCTAGAATGTGTCAGGAAGATATTGTCAAGACTTTTCCTCCTTTGGGAATTTTGTGTCTTTGAAGAACTGTTTTTGTGCCAGCTTTTGGCTTTCTGGCTATCAAAAATGCAAGTAAACAAGCTGTGACTCCTTTATGCTTGCTGTTTTTCAAGAGCTCGAGAGAAAGATTAGCAAGGACAAGGTGGGAGCAGCGATGGTTGACTGCCTGCAAGTGCCTCAACAATTGAGGATTTGCAGTCTCACAGTTTGACATACACAAAAAAACTCAAAATAAGAAACCACTGAGATGCCAGAGCCACAGGAAAATCTTGAACCAGTGTTTGTATTTTTAAGGCATGAAATTTACGAAAAGCACAAAATCGTTATGAAAATTGCAGGAAATTGGGATTTGTTGTTTTAGTTCTCCTAAGGCAGTCTATTGGAAGCTTTTATCTTTATTTTCTACAGATGTGAAATTTGGGCATACATGTGGCACTACGACTGTATTTGTCTGACAGTTCTTAACTACTGATAAAAGCGGCTGGAAGTTTTAGTAAGCTGTTACAGCTTTCAGGAATGTTAAGTTCTTACAGGTGTCATGAAAGTAACCACCTGAAAGGAAGAAGGATTCCTTGTAGCACGGTTTGGAGGAGAATTGTCAGAAGAGCTTGACCTTTTCTTTTTCTGTTATTTGCATGGCTGCTGATGAAGCTGCATTTTGGAGGTTACAATAAAGGGGGCATAAGTTCACTTAGTCAAGCACTTAGATATTAGCAGATCCATATAATGATTTTTTTCCCCCCATGCAGTCTGGAAGTTGGCTTGCTTTGGGCTCTTTCTTCTCGTGGATTCTCGTCTTATCCTTCTCTTGTCTTCTGTTTTAATTTTTTGGTTGTTTTTTTATCCCTCTCTCCACAGTTGTTCTGTCAGGTTCAGTATACGGGTGCTTCTGGATTACAAGTGACATGACAATCAAATAGTTGTTTGTGAGATTGGTCCTGCATTTGTTATAGAAACTATGCATAAGAAATTATCCTAGATTAATGTTAGCATATAGAATCACAGCATGGGTTGGGTTGGAAGGGACCTTGAAGATCATCTAGTTCCAAACCCTTGCCAAGGGCAAGGATGCCACTCACTAGATCAGGTTTTTCAGAGCCCCATACAACCTGGCCTTGCACAGGGATGGGGCATCCACAATCTCTCCTTGCTTTATATTGTCTCCTTTCTTCTTTATATCCTTCCTTCACTGTGTCCCTATTTGTAATTTTTATTTCCGGACATGTTCCCCAGAGGGCAGCAAAGTAACCAGTGCCTTCAGAAGGTGCACAGTCTAAAGATTCTCTTTATGAGCCTGTCAGTTTTTCATTCTTGGAGATTATGCCTTTCTTCTTAAAACGTGTTTCCCAAGTCATAGTTTCAGGGGGAGGGTTTGTATTTGGTTATACAAAGTGGATTGCAACAGAGAGGAAGGGAATTAGGGAATGGACAATTTGAAGGCAAGGTGAAACAGTTGCTTCTTCCCTTTTAGTGAAATTGCTAAAAAGTAGAAACAGAAGCTCAAAAGGAAACAGCTTTCCCTATCCATTAATTAACTTTTATTGAAACCTGCACAGCTTCTGAGGATGCTCCTGAGGCCTCTTGCAATTTTTGTTGGTGTGGGTGCTTAGAATTCATTGCAAACCAGACTTTGATTGGAGTGTGGACTCCTGCATATTATTATCTTATGGTGAGGGTAAATGATGGTATTAACTGTTGAGTGGTGAGCTAGGGGAAAGTAAAGACTCTTTATTCAGAAGAAACTAAATTCTTAAAACGAGGTTTTAACATGCCTGTATTACTATAGAATAATTTAAGATGGAAATGACCTCTAAAATTGAGTCCAACCATTAACCCAGCACTGCCAAGTCTGTCACTAAACCACATCCCCAAGTGCCACGTCCATGCTTTTTTTATATACCGCCAGGGATGGTGACTCCACTGCTTTCTTGAGCAGCCTGTTGCAATGCTTGACAACTCTCTCTGTGAAGAAAGTTTTCCAAATATCCAATCTAAACCTCTCCTGATGCAACTGGAGGCTGTTTCCTTTCCTGTTACCTGTGAGAAGAGACCAATCCCCACCTGGCTACAGCCTCCTTTCAGGCACTTGTAGACAGCCATGAATATTCCTCTCAGCCTCCTTCTTTCCAGGCTTAACAACCCCAGCACACTCAGCTGCTCCTCATAAAATTCGTGCTCCAGACCTTCCACCAGCTTTGTTGCTCTTTGGATGCTCTTCATCACCCCTTGTATGTTATGCCCATCTCAACTATAAATTTCTAACTCATTAAATTCTAGGTCAGGGAAAGTATTGCAGATCACATGTTTGTCCTTTTTATCTTATGGTGACAGTTTCATGCTTTCACTTTTTTTGGAAAGAGCGTTTTGACAGTTTAGTGTCTTGGGAATGTTGCCTTACACCATTTAAAATCAGTGTCTTTAAATATTTTTAGAAACAGGTCAACAGATTTGTGATGCTTCTCCAGAAAAATTTTGGATAGATGATGTGTGTTGTGTGAAACCGAAAGAAAACAGGATGACCATGGAAACCTTTTGGCAATATCCAGCCTGGACACTTGTGCTTTAATGTGAAGGTCTATAATTGTTCCATAAAGAAAAGTAAGCTCTTTGTCGTCATAAACACATTAAGAAAAGCATGCCTAGGATCAAGGTAATTTCAGATCAATTACACTGCTTGGAGTCTATTCACGCCTCTGCTGGAAAATATATAGGTGTCATCCATCAAGTCCTGTGTTTCTTTTATATTAAACGTAACTAGGCCTGCTGGGTGGTAAGTGGGAGGCTTAGAGTGGACAGGGTGAGATTTATTAGTTCTTTTACACTGATGGTTGTTGCTGTGTTTCATTCAACGTTCTTGAATTTTTCAAGGACTTCACATTTTAGTGGAACCAGTGGAATGGTGGATTTTCTACAGCTCTAGAAAATCAGGTCTTCAGTCTCAACCTAGCACTTACTAGTGCCGCTTTTGAATTCTAGTCTTAATGTTTTAAGGCAGAAATTAGTAAAAAATGTGTTCTATAACTGGCTATTAAAATGAAATAGCAAAGAATTTGCTGTCTTTCTACTGTTAATATCCCCCAACTGAGATTTTTTTTCTTTGTTTTCTTTCTTTTTGTAGTGCTCTCTTCCAGTTAAAGGTTTCAAGAGTTATCTGCTTTCCGGATCTGAATGGAATTCTTCTGCATCAGAACTGTTGGTAACTTATTCTTGGGAGATGAAGAAAGTCATGTTGCAGTTCCTTTGAGAAGCTTAAGGACTTCAGCAGTGGTAGACATTTTTTCTTATTTAAAGGCCTGTCACCAGGTATCCTATCATATGGCCAAAATTTGAGACTCAGATTGTGTTGTACAGTGTTAGTGGTAGATACCTTGAATGGAGTGTGGAATGTTAGGACTTGGCACTCTGTTAAAAATAGTATTTTGAGATAAATTATTTGTTGCACTGTAGGAAGGCTTGTTCAGGAACGAGCATAATGGGTTAGTGCTAACATCCATCTTGCCCAGTACTTTGATCCTGACAGTTCTACAGAGGAAATCATTTTGGAGCGGGTGCCATAGTCTCCATTCTGTGTTGGCAAGAAGCCTATTCTTGGTCTTCTAAAGATTTTTACTCTGAAGTGTAAAGCTTGGTAAAAAAAATTCTTATTCCTATGGATGTGTTATGAAAACTTCTGTTTCACCTTTGCATATTTGTAGATTTGTTTCAGTGACTTCCTACATGTGAATTTTACTGACACTGTATAATTATATTTTTTTCCTTAAAAAGAAATTATTTTCTCTTTTTCTTGACAGGAGGGACAGCTGTTCCTGCTCAGCCCTTTCAATATCATTGTTTCATTTCTCTTCAGTTAATCTAAATATCTGGTGAGCTGTACAGTTTGCAAACAGTAAAGAGGTTCCAGTTTGTTATGAGGGCACACACTGTGGGAAAAGCTAGGTGTAGCTTTTCATTTTGTGTTACATAGGCAACTCAGGACAACAGGTCATTTCAGAAAGTCAGTCTACAGATATTATTTAACCATTTATATTTTTGCATACCCTTTTTAAAGGAAATTTTGGTAATAGCTGGCAGTATGTCTTTGAATCAGAGCATTGACATTCAGTATTGTCAGTGAAGATTCTCAGACTGTGTATGAAGATGTTGTATACGTGGCTGAAATGGTAGCACCTCTTTACAAATAATTTGGGTTTAGGGCCAGTTGTTTCCCACAAAAGGGAAAAAAATATATTGTAATTGTTTTGGTAAGCTAGTGTGTTTTTACTTTGTCCTCTTTCACTTTTTTAGTGGTTACCTAAACCACTTTTCATAGGACTGTTCAGCAGAAAGCAGAGGTCGCCTTAATTGATACTTTAAGCTGTTGAACATCTGTAAGAAATGTAGTTTGGTTCTCCTGCACGATGTTTACATTTCTGTGTGTTTGTTGTGGTTTGGGAGGGGTTTTGTTTGTTTTTCTAAATGCAAAGCAAGATCTTTGATTCCATGTGGTTGGGGAATTTGTGCTAAACTTATGCTTTGCTCTTGTTAGGTTGCCTGTTGCTGTGCTAACTTGAAGAGGTGACCATTTGCAGTGAGTTAATGATGTTTATGCTCTCTCCTGTGGATCTCTCCTCCTTTTCCTTCTATCAAGCAATGTCACAAAAGGAATAGACTGTGCAAGATTTTCTCCTTGCAGTTAATAATACCAAGCACTCATTTTGTTGAGAAAAATGTTCTTTAAAACATTCTAGAATAAAAAAAAAAAAGAAAATTATCTGCTGTGTTACCATTGTTGTGTGCCTAATCCTGAAAAAGAGAGAACTTTGCCCCAAACACCTTACAGTTTGTTTGGGATCCAGCCAGTGTATGTAATTGGAAATTGAATTTCAAATTGGGAAAGGAAAGTGAAGGGAGAATAAAGGAAACATCAGTAATATGTTGGACAAATTATGTGAAATTGCTGTAACCCTCTACTGCCCATCCATTTAAGATACAGTGTTATTGCAGGAGTAATCTTGGGGGATCTGAAAGAACCAAATATTAGGAACTTCACTTGAGGAAGATGATGTATTTTTACAAGTGGAAAAAAGGTGTAAGGAGTGTTGTAGTAGCCAGTAGTGTCAGCTTTTTTTGCTGTGTACCTTAGGCTTGGACTCTCAGAACATTTTATGCTGTAACATACTGGCACCTTCTGCTAAATTTTGTCCTCCATAGCTTATTCTACCTGGCTTCTTGTGATTTAAGTGTAAAGTGGAAAGTAACACTGTGTAGGACCAAAAGAAGGTCCCTGATGTATTACAAGAGTTTGTATTTCTGCTTTCTATTTTGTTGTTTCTACAGAAATATTTTGTTGTTTCTTAGAAGTTCCTGTGTTATGGAGCTGTGCTGGATTTTGAAGGTCAGTGTTGCTGGACTGTGTAGATATCAAAACATTACTGCTATTTAAGAGTCATATCTTTTCCTGCTGTAACTACTGTTTGGCTCATGTAATGATCCACAGTTCAGATATACAGTTTAGGAAAGATCAGCAAGAGGTTCCATTTTGAGAATATCTCTAAGGTGGAGTTGCAAGCAACAAAAATATAATCATTAATGAATTTTTTCTCATATAAGTAAGACTTATTTTTCCACATGGAAATTGTTATTATAATACCGTTTCACTGGAATTTTCTAGGAGTACAAATGGTTCTCTTAAAAGTATCCTGTTAAAAAAACCCAGCAGCTCAACAACAAACAAATCAATATGGCTGTATCTGGCTCTTCAAGTTGTATTGTACAGTGTTTCCAGGAGTATGTTCTCTCTTCTCCTGTCTGAGGCAGATAATGACTACATAAATATAAATCTGAAATCTGCAATTTTGCATTTGAGGGTATAGATCAGTACATACAGAGTCAATCTACAGTAGCAAAATTGTCCTTGGAAGGATGAACTGTTCACAAAATTTCTGCTGACGTGTTTGTTAAACTGAGAGGAAAAACAAAGCTCATGCCTACACAACTTCAGGGTGAAAATGTTGGATACCACTAGGACCTTGCTATTGTTGGTTTCCACATAGTTTTTAGAAAAACACCCACTCAACTTTACTTTCAACCAGTGCTTTAAATTCTCTTATTGCTGGACATGTTTTTACTTGCTTTTACAATTTTTTATCTTCCATCTAAATTACATACCTTTTAGTGAAGGTGGCTTTTGTCCTCAATAAATTAAACTAATTAAAACTTGAAATATGTTATAGTCTGGGAGCCTGTTATGAGGTCCATGTGTCTTAGACACATATTGTTCTACAAAACCAAAGAGATGACCCAGGTTTCAGAGTTACGCTCTGAGCCCACTGCCAGAGATCCCTCCCTGGGAATACTGCAGAACTGGCAAGGGCATTTTTGATATGTGATGTTCTGCTGGTTTATTGTGTAAACATACACTTCTAACTTCCCACCCCATCCACTCATTCCCTGATTTCACCTTCCCATGTGCTACATGCTGTATTTTAGTTTGGTAGCTGCAGATAGGTCTGGATATTCTAAAAGAATGTCCTGATACCTCTCTGTACTGTGTGACTTTACAAAGAAGCTTTTGTATTAATTAACTGGTAGCAGTCTTTGCTTCACAATAATACATGGAAACAAAAAAAAAAAAAACCAACTCCTCTTCTACTTGTAAAAAAAATTAACCAAAATTAGAAAAGACAAACCTCCCCCCCCCAGCAAGTATGCAAATGTTATGAAAATCAATAGCTCATATGTTACTAGTTACTAGGTATGAATACGAGTCCAGTACTGATAAAGATCATGGAAAAAAAACTGCTTTTAATATATGATCAAATTCAGAAAATTAGTATTTTTTTCTCAGTGCAATTGCTGAAGATAACAATAAGAAAGTTTGTTATCACTTTATTTAAATTTTAAATGAAATGCTAGTTACAAAACCCTTCCCTCCCTCCCTGCCAGATTTATGCTCCTCAGTTGTTTGGCTACTTCTGCTTTTCCTTCCCACTGTCAAAGAATGCAACAAAGTTTTGTCTACACAGAAAGCAGTAATGCATGTGAGTAATGTGAGTAATGCAGCACGTTAACATTACTAAGTGGGAACTATGTAATGAAATGCTATACTCAGAAAGAATATGAAATAAAGTGGCAAGAGTTTAGTCTGGTTTTTTTCCCTTCTCTATTCTAGGTGGGTTTTTTGTTTTGGAGGAGAGGTTGATTTCTGGCTGTTGATAAACCTTCCATAACTGAAAAGTACAAGGAACTGGTATGGTAAAGTCTTAAGGTAAGAAACATTACAGAATATGTGACTTCAAAGCAGGACTTCTGAGTACATGTAAGGCAAAACCTATAACATATAAGCTCTGTGCAAGAACTTTATTCACTGTGCTGAGGATAGTTTTATGTAGTTATATGCTGGGTACACTTTAAGGTGTGTTTCTTGGAGGCTGCTTGGAAAGAAGCACTAGCCATGCTTTTACCACTGTCAGCCTCACAGGTGGGATGCTTCTGTCCAGAAAACAAACAATGAGACTTTTAAGACTGTTGGACTTTTTAAATTTACCAAAGAGTATAATCTGGGGAGTCTGACTCAGTGTTATTTGGGAATTTTTTGTATTATTACATTCTTGGAAAATGCTGTATAGTAGAATACAAAGAGAAAAAAAAAATAGAAAAAAAAGAGGACCTGCTAACTAGCACAATATAGAATTAAAAATGGCTTTTAAAAATATTGTTATATTAGAGACTACTAGACAACAGTTGAGAGATAAAGATGCAATTAGTAACAATACAGTAATTCAGCCTTCAGAGCTCCTTGCTACTTGACAAAAAACAATCACCCAGAACTATGGGTTCCTAGGTTTATTGTGGACAGGGCATGCAGATAAAATTATTTGTTACAATTACTTAGCAGGGCCCTGCATTCTGCTAGAATTCAAGCAAACTGTATCTGAACTGCTTCTTTTTGCCTTGTTTTATATTGATCAAGAGACACAGAAAAAATGAGGCCAGGAAAATATGCAATAGATGTGATAATTAAAAAAAATCCCACCAAACCTGGAACCAAAGAAACTATGGGTATTTTCTGTCCCTTCTCTGAGTAACACCACCAGTGGGTCACTGCCTCTGCTCTGAGGCAGGGAGAGGCTGTGGCCATGCCAGGACAGGGTTGAGACAAGAGGATTGAGTAGACACAGCTGCAGTGAGGAGAAGGGTGATAGTAGCTGTTGTCCCAAACAAGATGTGTGGTGACTTTATGTTGGGTTCTAGGAGTTTTATTTTTTCCCTCCCTTACTCTGGAAATCCAGGATGCTTCCTCCTGTTAAAATAAATGGAGATGGACATGCTGTCCAAATGGGGAAAAAATTTCTATGCCCTTTTGAGGTGTTCTTTAAGAAGGAACAGTTCCTCCCTGTTAGCCCACACTCCAAATGTTAGATGTATAAATAAAAACTGGCTGTGTACTCCCTCATCAGTTTTATTTTGAGATTTTTTTTTTCTTACTTTCAGAACAGTGGATTTTCTTAGTTATTTTTCCATAATTGTTACCCATGAAAACTCTGGAGGAAATTCAGTAATTCCAAAACTAGAAAAGTGTTAATATTTATTGTTTGACAAATTTGTTATGGCTGCTTAGAAATGCTAACATACCTCGGTTCCTAGGTCTGCAGTCTGCTGTGCAACTGGATATTTCTTTGAGTTTATTTCAGACTCCAGAAATAATTGGACCTTTAGGAACCTCAGGCTGAACTTGACGAGTATCTCAAGACAGTATAGAAATAGATGGAACAGTTTCAGTAAGATGCACAGATATCTTCTCAAATTCTTTCCTTTTGATGGACACATGTGATTGTTAAACTACTGACTTGCCTTAGTTTTAAGGACCTTTGTTTTTCATTGCTTTTCCCACGAGATAACAAATAAGGTTAATCACAAGCAACTAAGTATTCATGGATGTTATTACTTAACAGGAGGTCTTTGCCTGCATTCCTCTGGGGGTAAGAATTTGTACAATAATGACTGCTTCATTGATTTTAATGTAAAAAGAAATAAAGTTATAATTGTTTCTCCATCTTAGTTGTAATTCAGATTTCTTTTTTTTTTGTTTAGTATCTGTATGGCAGTGTAACTTGTGTAGTACCTTCTGTAATTTGTTATTCTATCAATTAATGTATTATATTTTGACAGTTTATCAAAAGCTGTATGGTAATATACAAATTGAACTCAATTTAAAGATCGAATACTCTTTTTGTTTTTAGGGTTGGTGGTAGTTTGTTATAACTGTGTTATAATTCTTGGTTTTGATAGTTTATTTTTTACAAAGACCAAAAGGAAGTTTGCAAAACAGAGAAGAAATCAAAAAGACCTTAAATAAATCAGTTATTTTCAATATAAACCAGCTAAATTCGTAGCCTATGAGATGTCCCTAACTACCATGTTTCTTTACCCATTTGATGCTGTGACCGTGAAATGAGAAGTCCCAAAGTACTGGCAAAATCTAACAGCAGAAGCCTTGTGCAACTTTGGAAGAACTGGGTTTGTCCAGACTGCGAGGCAGCAAGAGCTGACAGATGAGCATTATAGCAACTTTTCATGCATTTGAAAACTTGCAAAAGGGTTGGTGATTTTTGTGACTGCAGAAGGAAGAGTTTTTACTGGCTTCAAAGACCAGATGACTTAGTGGCATTTTAGGAAAAGCTTTCTCACAAGATATGTTAGACGTTGGAACAGATTGCCGAGAGACTCTAATGGCTGACAAAGGGAAAGTTTTTAAAGTTACCTTAGTGTCTCTCAACGGTGAACCATGTGATAAAGTGCAAGAAGTGAGCTCTGTCCAATTCCAGTGTTTTTATTTTATAAATGCTGTGGTGTTAAATGACCTTCCCATAAGTTAATTCTTGGAGCTGATGTTTTCAAGGTATTTGCGTGTATGAACGCTGGAAGTTGACAGTCATGTTATTAAATGGTTTGATATAAACACAGGCTGCTGCCAAAGAGGGACATGCCTTAGCTGCCCTTTTCTGGCTGGTTTTCAATTCAGTGGGGTGACAAATATGCACAGCTTAGATGTGCATATTTGATGAAGGCAAATCTATCCCTTTTGCAGCAGCAGCTGCTCAGTGTGACCATGGAACAGGAGCTCAAGGCTCTGCAGCCAAGGGATGGTCACTTATGGGATGATTGATACTTCATGTCCTGACCTAGGGCCTTGTTCAGGAAAGAACACGCTGAAAGAGCGGCATAATGCAAGACAGCTGAATGTTTTCTATAGCAAGCTATCTCCTTTTCCATTAATCTTAAATGGAAGTGTTAGATATTTAGTTCTGTCCAGTAGGCTTTAGCAAACATGCAAATTAAGCAACTCCAGCTTTCAAGTTTCAAAAAAAAATTATAGCTGGAGAGAGGTAACTCACTAGTAATGAAGTCGGACAGAGTACATGTCCTGCTTCAAGTGGGGCTTTACCTCCAGCTCTGTATCATTTGCAAAATTTAACAGTGATGATGAGAAAATTAGTATAGAATTCAAAATCATCACAGTAAGACATTATCACAATGTCCCTTTGCTCTAGTGGTGAAAAATCCATACCGTCAGCAAGAATCATATTTTGCAGGGGGGAGAAAGTCCAAAGAAGGTAGAAGATCCAGGAGAAATCTTTCATTTGTTATTGGGTCCAGCAGAGATGGAGCTCATTTTCCCCCCAGCAGCCCCCAGAGCTGTGCTGTGCATTGGCAGCTGTAAAGGTGCCCATAAGACAGCAGTGTTTTGGCTGCTGCTGAGCAGCACTGGCACGGTGTCAGCGCTGTCACTCCAGCATCTTCTCCTCACCAGGAGGGTGGGGGTGGGCAAAATCTTGGGATGGAACACAACCAGGACAGCTGACCCACTGACTGAAGGGATATTTCATACCATGTGATGCCTGCTCAGATACAGAAGCTAAGGAAAAGGAGTAGGGAGGGGGGACATTTGTTATTTACAGTGTTTATCCTCTGGGGCAACCACTGTGTGCTGAAGCCCGCCTCCTGGGAAGTGGCAAGACACCACTCACTGATGGGAAGTAGACAATAAAATATTTAGTTTTTTTCTTTGCTTGTGTGCACACTTTTTTTTTTTCTTTTGCTGTAGTAACCTGTCTATTCTTGACGTACAAGAGTTTTTTTCCATCTTATTTTGCTGGGGAAGGGAGTGAAAGAGCAGCTTGATGGGTATGTGGCATCCAGCCAAGGTCAACCCACTACAATTTGCTGTAGCATTTTAGTCATTAGGGTAGATGTAAAACCAATGCAGATAAAATAGCACCTTTGAGATGAAACTTTGGATTAAGCATGACACTGAAAAATTAGGTAATCAGAGACTGGACCACACAATGCAACATAATCTGCAGCCAGCTCATGGAGTTCCAGAAAAAAAGTCTTCAGTTTCTTACTCTTATGTCACCTCATTCCCACTTCTGTGTACTTGCTGATTCAGTTTGAACCCTTTTTCCTTTAAAGGCCTCAAAATTCCTGTAATATATGTCAGCTGCCAGGTGTCTTCTAAGTCATAGATATTCCTGCAGAGGCCAGCAAAAGCTAAGATAGTGTGCGCTTATTCCTCTGGCATAGGGGCTTTGAGGAATAATAGAACACTACTTCGCATCCCAGTTTTCCAAATCTCACTCTTGGTTGTTAGCAGTTGCGTAAATTCAGTGTCAAAGGCTACATTTACAATTTTGTCAGAGGGTTTAGAATCTCTTCAGGTTTGGCCTGTGCTGCTGAAGCTAGCAGGAACTAAATGACCTGAGGTCTTTGTATGGATTTGTTGGTTTTCTTAGCTTTTGTAGAGATGGGGTAACTGAGAGACATTTTAAAAGGTTTTATTCTGTTATTAGTCTCGATGAAGGGTGAGACATAAGAGACATAAAACTCAGCACTGTTCCATCAGAAGCTAACCTATTTTCTGGTTACAATACTTTCTAAATGTTTTTCAGCCTATTAGCTTTTCCCACACAATGCCTCTATTACTTCTAACACTAATCACCTATATTTTTACCCTATGTAGTCTTATTACAATATATCTTTCACAGTTCTAATTCTCTAAGATATCTAGTCTTTTTACAAAAATGTATTTTAAAAATTATTAAAACTTATTTCTAGTTCAATCTCTCAACAATGTTATCTCTATTCCACGGCCTTCCTAAATCAACACACCTTATTTCAGTGTTTATATACAAATATACAGAACTATATGAACTTTCTGTCAAGTTTTAAAAATTCTTTATAAATCCATTTCTCACATGGATGGTTGTTAGGAATACTTAGATGCGTAAAGATGCAAATAAATGCTTCTATGGGATCTTTTAAACCCTGACATTTCAGGGACAGTAAGTGGACTTTTTGCAGCTACAGGCACTTAAATTTTTTTTCTCCTAACCTGCCTCTGTTTGGCAGCAAATGCAGGTGTCCAGCATGCAGATAATTGCCAGTTTAAAAAAGGCTTCTGTGGCACAGCTAATTCCTGCCTGGCAGCTGGGCGGGCTCACAGGGTTTCTAGAAATTCCCCAGGTTCCCAGCTATGTGAGGGGCTGCTGGCACCAGGATGCTTAGGGACTCGATCTGTAGCTGCTGCTGCAATGAAATTGTCACCTGCCTTCATCCCTCGAGTCTCACACTCTTCACTTAAAAATGCTGTAGGAGACAGGCGGCTGGTGGCAGGGAGATCAGACCTCTCAGGCAGTATTGTGTCACCGCTGTGTGGCTGAATCGGACCATGTGCTGGAGCTGATTGTGGTTCCTGGCTGTGCTGTGGTCCTAGCCCAAGCCTTACCCAGGAGAGAGCAAGCTGGGCAGTGCCAGAATTCTGTGGGAACAGTGGTAGTGGTTAAAAATCCCGGCTGACACAGGCCATCGTGTTTGCCATACTTTATTTGCTCACACTGTGAGAAATAGCTTTTTCTCAAGCAGATGAACATGCAGAAACATACTCTCCATGTCTCCAATATGCCTTGAGCTGCGGAGCCTGAAGGTGTTACACTTAATGAGGCATTACAGCAAGAAAATGCCAGTGCCAGCAAGAGAAAATATGCCTTTTAAATTTAAAAGATCGGAGTATTTTCCATTTACTGATAGATTGGTACGAGGGAACAGCAAAGTCGATTAATCTCTGAATGAAAACTTGGTGTCAGTTAAATATCTCAAAGAGTTCAAGACCTGTCAAAGGTTATACTTAAACAGTTTGTCTCGCTGCTTTCCACGGAGCTGTTAATCAGTTTGACCACTTAATACTAAGTAGCCTTCTAACAGAAATCATCATAGGCAAGCGTGAAGCGCGACCCGGGATGAGGGCGGCGAGCAAAGTCCCCGGAGTTCGCGGGGACCCTCCCGGGGTGGGATGTAGCGGTGCCTCCCGCCGCCAAGACAGCGGCTGACGGGAGTTCGCGAGCGGTCTCTAAGCACTCCGCGTTTCTCATCGGCGAGGGGTCGAGCACGGCGGCAACCACCCCCGAGCGGGGGAAGAGGCCGGCGGAAGGCGCCGTCCGCCGCGGACGGGCCGAGCGCTCCCGGGGCTCGCGGCGCGGCGCCGGCCCCAGACGATGGCGCTGCAGCCCCGGCGTTGCGGCGCGGCGGCGGCCGCGGGGGCATGAGGCGCGCGGGGCTGGCGGGCGGCGGCGCGGCAGAGCGCGGGTCGGCGCGGCCCTGAGCGGAGCCTCCGCGCCGCGCTGCGCTCCCGCTGAGCGACTATGGCCGGGGGAAGGCGAGGGCTGGTGGCGCCTCAGAACACGTTCCTGGAGAACATCGTGCGAAGGTCTAACGGTAAGGGGGCACCGGGGGCGAGCTCTCGCCGGCCGCAAGGAGCCCAACGCGACCTCGACGGGGACAGCGTCGGGCGGGGGGCGCCGAGCCCCGGCCGCTGCCGGGCGGCTCCGCCGAAGCGGCGCATCCAGGTGCTGGAGCCGGTGCCGGCTGCGCCGCCCAGCTCCTGCCGAGAGCCCCTGGCCCGGGCGGCGGGGCTCGGGCTGCAGGTGCGCCGGCACGGCTGGAGCCCAGCGAGCCCCGGTGGCCGCGCCGTGCCCGCGCGGGCCGGGATCGGGGGCGGCGGCGGCTCCGGACCGGGAGGAGGTGCGGGGATTCAAGATGGTCCCTGGGCTGAGAGAGCCCGGTGCGGGGGCATCGTCCAGGGCTGCGTGCTCGGGTTGAAAGGGAAGGTTTGTCATAAGTGAGGAGAGAGTTTGCCATTTTAAAGGCTGAGGGCAGATACTGTTTTTTTTTTTTTTTTTCTCCTAGTGCACTGTAACCAGGTCTGTCTCTTGGAAAACTGTGGAGTGGAAAATGCCTCGAATTTCACAATTGCATGCAAATATGTATTAATGCTATCCAGATTCTTTTACTTAGGGACTTACCAAAAGCTGCTCCCCCTGCAAGCCACCAACCATGCAAGCGTTCATAGATTTGTTTAACCTAGGCATGTGCATTTCTTTTAAAGCCCCGAGCCTAAGTTGTGCCATTTTTAATGTTCTAGTGACTTCAGTGGGGTTACTTCAGGGGTTAAGAACTCGTAGTATGGTTGAGAATATGAGGATCAAGCTCCTTTTGAAGACGAGATGAGTTAATTAATTAAAAACATAGTCAGTTTGTTCTGATAAGGCAAAGACAATTAGCCCTCTTGATAAGCAGCTAAAAAGTCAAATGATCCCAAGAATGATTTTCAAATTTTTTAAATTAGGCAGTATTATTGCACAACTAGTCTTTGATAAGACCATATTTTCACATAAAATTGTGAGGCTCTTTTTATAGGTTATTTCTCTCTGCAACTTTCCTGTGGAAGGAAGGGGGCTGGAGGCTGCATTCCTGAAAAAATTACTCTCCAGTCGTACAGTGAAGCTTACCCTCTTATTTTTTTTTTTTTATGTCTTCAAAAATGAATGTTACATGTCATCACATTCAGGCTGCTTCTCTAATCTCCCAACAACATTTATTGAAGGTTTTTCTCAAAACTGTCTCGACTTTGTAGATTATTTTCTTCATTAAAAACCAATTTCCTCTTTTGGCTTTCAGTGCCAAAACCTCGATGCAATAAATCAATTGAGTCTTGGAGATAGCTTCTGCTGCATGATTCCCCTATGCTCTGTTTCTTCCTCTCTTCCCCCATTATTAAGAAGGTGTCATAACAGAGCATGGTGCTAGACAGCACAGGTAGAATGACAGCACTCCATTTCCAAATGCTCAGCAAGTCCTGAGGACTGTAATCAATACAAGTTTTTAGATTAAGCTTGGTGAGAAATGATGCACAATTCAGACCTTACTAGGATAAGCTTAGGGAATTGACTCAGGTTTAAAACCCTATTTCTTCTGTGATGTGCCTTCAAGTTTTTGCTGGACCAAATTCAGTTTTGCTGGAAATGTGATGCTATCACATACCAGTGTTGGATGAACCAGTTTTTCTAACCTTAGTCTGTTTGAAGAGACAAGGATAGACTCCTTTCTCTCATGCTGAGGCAGGGCTGTGCTGACCAGCACGGGGGCAGTATGGAAACGTGCCATGTCTCATCTTGTCGTGCCTACTTGGCCATTGAGATGATTTGGGATACCCACAGGATGAGTGCTTAAATGGGCCCATAAAGCTTGAGGTTTGGCTCCCCTTTCTTGGTTTCGTTCAGTTGGGTAGTAATGTCACCCACAAGGAAGCTGTCTACGCCATTTGGGATTTGCCAAATAAACCTTGGGCTTGTTGTCAAGCTTGTATTTGCTGGCACATGCAAGCAAGTTGAGTAGTGCCAACAGATATTGAGTTGATACAGATACAGAAATGCTCCTAATTTGTGGAGGATTCCCTTTGAAAAGAGAGGAATTTTGTCATTGAACAGAAAGAATGTACTAAGTGCTTCACGTGAAGGAACTTCTACATGACACGTGTATCATCAGTCACGGGTGGACTCAGGAAAGAGTGTTTTGGGGCAGGAGGTGTTAACTCAGTGGAAGGGGCTGTACACACAAAGGAGTGGCCATACAGCCTCTTTTGCAAGCATTGCTCTAAGGACAGCACTAATTACACCATTATTTTACCAGCAGTTTTA